CTGCCCCATTAAAATACTTTATAATTGAACTGGATTGACTGACTATAGCAAAGCACACAAAAGGACTGCACAAAAGACACTGATAAAATTTTATAACACACATGAAGAAAAATAACAAAAGTCTTGTACAGCTAGCCTGTCAACTGCTACGAAAAGAATCTAGTGAACTACCAGCATTTTATGCTTTAGACACTTGGCTGCTGTATGGTCAAATGTTGGATAAATGCACTGTCCTTTACAATACTTTTCAATTTAATGCATTAAGTGAGAATAAAAATGTGATTTTTAACCACTTTTACGGCCTTTTAAAATTTTTTAAAAATTTTATTTTATTTCATACATTTACTTTTACATTAGTTACTTTTAATACACCATTCCACTGCATTCACAAAGCTATATACTTTTTTGAGCAAGTACATTGATAAAACTTGAAGCGGAATTCTATAAGTTTATCATAGCAACATCCAGTTCTAAAGACACTGGACATTCAGTTAATGTGAATAAGCCAGTTAAAAATTACACTCGATATAAATTAATACTTAAAACGTTTTATTTCCAGGTAACATTCAGTATTAAATGCTAAATGTAATACTCTCTGGTGTAGTTCAAACCAAATGAGCTTCATAGCATAACATTCTCACAACAATGCACAGGGTTTAATATTTTGCAGCTGCTAATAATGGCCTTCTGCTCATGAAGCTTTGCTGGTAACATTATTGAGAAGATGAGCAATTTCTTCAAAGAAAGGGAGGGAAAAAAGAACTTTGTGCATAATGAAACATTTAGTCTCAGGTCAAAAATAGTTTCCATTTCTCCATTTCACCCACACTCAGCCCTCCCATAGGCCACAAATCATTATGATGCAATTGGCTTGTAATTAAAATTTTTACCTGGGAATTTGCAGGTAAAATTTTTAAATAAAAGCCAAATGAATCATAATAACTCAAATCTTTTTATGATAATGCCAATGCCTTTAGACATTGGCACTGATTTCAAAATTTAAGACTATTGGTGAAAACTAAAACCTATGATGCCAGTAAAAAGCTTAAAATACCTGAAGATTTGATGACATGATTGTAGAACAATCAAAAATGTCATTAAAAGTTTCAAATTGTGAAATAAAATAGGAATGTTTTAAATAGGAATCTACAAATTTGGATTTCTTCTTATTCATATTAAATTGTGACTGAATTGTTTTTGTGTGTGTGTGCGTGATTATGGCAAAGCCTCGAGGGCTATCTGCCTAAGAGGAGGGATGCCTTCGTGGAGGACTTTCTAAGAGAAACTGGCTCGTATACATGTTACACATGGGAAAACAATGAAAACCCCCATGCAGCCAGCCCATTTGCAGGATTCGAACCTCGGACCGAGCTACCAGTGTTCAGCGACTTTACCGCTCGGCCGCTAGTGGGCAAATTGTTTTTGCATAACATTTCTTCATTGATTATTTTTCTTATTTGCTTTCACAAATTAATTTGTGCTGTTGATATCATAGCAAATGGAATCTGTCCTTCTATTTTTATTCTTTCTGGGTTTGCATACTTCTTTGTCATTTTCTTTATCTAATGAAATGGATTTATATCTGTTGTCATCTTCAAACTGCCTGTATACATTTTGTTTCCACTGCTTTGCAAATTCCATTGTGCGTGCATTTCTCCCTCTGTTTTTACTATTCTTTAATATAACATATATGGAATTTGTTGTTTTTCTGCTGAGGTAAGTGACAATTTATTTTTTTGATCACCAAGTACTTTTTCATTTTCATCCTGTATGTAATGATTTTTTTGCTGCTGCTTCTTTATATTTTGTGAAATTCCTTCATATGTTTTAACCATAGGAATCTCCATTTTAATGCAATCCTTTGTCATAGACTGTATGAATTCTCATTAACTGTCATTGCAATTAGTCTTTTGAAAAGATATTTTTATACTTCTTGCTATATTCATAACACTTCAGTATTTCAACTAAACTGCACTAAAAGTAAGGCATCTTTATATCTCAAGAATATCAGGCAAGCTACTGAAAGCAGAGTGTTAATATGGTCTAAAAATGCAGCAATTTATATATACAGTATGAAGTTTTGTATAAAAAATTCAAATTATTTTGGATAGTCAATATAAAATATTTACTGTATTCCAGCATGGGTGTATGAAATCAGATGTGTTGTCCACTTAAATTTATATGCAAAAATAACTTATACCAAACTTATTGAATAAAGGTTACATTTAATCAGACAAGTTAGTGTCACATGGCAATTTAAATTAAAACAAATTATTTAATGATAATGCCATGTAACAAAAAAGAAACAAGCTTTCACCGCTAATTATCTAGCATTGATTTCAATACTTCATAAAGTTACAAATTTTTTTTTCTATAATTATTTTACAAAATACCAAGCAGAGATGAAAATCATTTATTTTAGAAAAATATCTCGATATCTAAAAGCCAGATATTGTTTAATCACAATGAACCAACATCCATAAAAGATTAGATGTACAAATTTCAATGCCACAGTTCCAAACAGAGAAAATAAAGCATAGGAAACTCCGAGGGAAATGGTTGAGATTTCTGCTTGTTACGACAACTATTCCAAATGATATTATTGCTGTTTAGCACGCAACTGGATTATGTTGTAAATGATTGTTGATAATTAACACATTGTTCTCTAAGCTAGAATAATGTAACAGATCTCATGACCAATTAATAACTTTTAATACTGAAACTATTACCAACAGATAATAGCTATATAACACTGTAAATATGGTTAAAATAAAGTTACCATTTTAAGAATCAATATTTCTCTCTTTTGAACAGATAGTTTTAAATATAAATGGCTCAAACAGCTATGCACACAAAATTTATACCTTTAAATTATGTCTGAAGAAAGAAAAATTTTATAATTTAAGCTTAACTTCGAAAAAATGTTCTTTCTACTTCACTAGCATGACAAATCTATTATAGTTTACATTATAATTAAATATATCGCTAGTTCAGTTTCTATAACTCTAACAAAATAATCAGTTTAACCTATGTCATACTTAATACAGTCTATAATATACATATATATCTACACCTAAACTTTATTTATATAAAAAATTATTACAAGTTTATGTGTTCTTTTAACAGCTGCTTTGGAACATGCAAAGACTATGTAATTATTACATGCATTAAGTAGCTATCAAACCCCAACATACCCTATTTTTCTTTTTTAACCTATAATGAAGCCACAGATGCATATGATGATGCCATGCAATACTACATATGAAATACACCATGCATTATAGAAGTCATTGAAAAGCCAAAGCAAAATACAAGTTAATATTTAAAGTATTTTGCTATTCAACAAATGACCCATACTTGTTAAAGTACTAACACAGGAGCTTTTAAATATGCAATTCATGCACGAAATAATAAACTACTTCTGTATTTAGTGTCAGAATCAGTCATCAGATTATTCAACTTGAAATTCTGCATTTCTTGTAAGAAGCACATATATGATTGCTTGTAAGAAGCACATATATATCATTGCTTGTAAGAAGCACATGCTCGTTAAAAGTATCAGCACTGAAAAAGCAACATATTTTAAATTGCAATATCATAACAATTACAATTTTCATGTTTACTCATTTTGCTTAATAAGTTTAATTTAGTAAAATCAGTAACTAAGCAAGCAAATCACATGAAGATAAGCAAAGCTCCAATAACAACAAGAACAGTTTTTTTACACGTCTTATAGAACTAAACACATCAGATCAGTAATAATTAAAACACTTTTTCACACTTCTTACAGAACTAAACTCATAAAATTATGATTGCTATAATATCAGGCAGAAAGATAGCAGACAAAAATACACACATTTAACAATATGTACATATGCAAAAGCATATACATTCAGATGCATCATGTCAACAAATCTCATTCAGGAATTTATCATTATACATCTATTTTTAGAAAACTGATCATTATGTACGTTTAGTTCAGGAGTATATAAATTTTCATTCATACAAATAAAAATAATTTAAATGTGATGTGCAAAATTTCATATCCATAAAATAATTTTGATCTTCTTTAAATTAATCACACAGCAAAGGTATATTTACTTATTCATTTTCTAATTAATATTTGGCACCACATGTTGCTTACTGTTAATAATGAATTATACTGCAGTAATGCATACAGCAATAAAATAAAACATAAGTAATCTATATTTTTAATTTAGTTAAATATATTAAATAAGTAATATAAGTTTTAAATACAATATGCAAAATTCCATGTCCACAGGACAATTTTCAAAGCTTTTTTTGATAGATTACTTGACATTGATAAATCCATTTACTACTTTGCTCATTTATAATATATAGCAGTTTGAAGCGACCTGGCATGGTTACTCAATATTTATGACAAAGTTTAAAATAATAAAACAAAACATAAATAATTTAATATATTGTATCACATAACTTTAAATAATTTAATATATTGTATCACATAACTTTAAATAATTTTATATGAATAAAATAACGCAATAAGCCATTCTGTTAAACCTTAAAAACACATAATTTGAAACTATGCTCTGTTAGTACTTACTAAAAGCAATGAATGAATGACGTGACTTAATTACTTCACACTAATGCCTTTTAAGCTATATCAACATGAATCTGATATAATAAAAGTGTCTTATGTAATGCATGTATGTAATCTTTGTGAAATTACTGGAAATACTGAATATATGAATTCAGAAGTCATGCCATTGAAAAACTAAGACTGTAATCTTAATGCAGAGCAGTCATAAGACATATTTCATTAAGAGCATAAAAACTCTTTAAAACAATGGAAACTGAATAGCATATTATTAAATTTACTGGACCCAAGACAACAGTATGAAAATGAAAAATGAATCTTCCAAATATCTCTCTACCGATACAACCAACTTTTTTTTAAACCAAGATAAATTTTTTAAAGCTGCATGTCAAAATTATTAATAACAAAAATTAGTACTTACTGTGAAGTATGTCAACTGACAATGTGTGTCAATAACAGAAACATATCCACCACACAGTCATTGTAGCAGAGAGGCTTTAATAACTTTGATAAATACAGATGGCTACATTATCCTCACACTGTGAATCCCCTGAAAGTTATATTACTTTATTATAACCTTATTCAAGTTGAAATCAAATTAATTTAGAACAAGAAATATACAAATGCAATGTACAAGCCAAATTAATGGAAATGTACAGCAGGATTAATAAAAGTGAATGTAATATTTTGAAATAAAAAAGCAGTGTTTTTGCTAAGAATATGGGTGTAAAGATGTTTTATAGCTCTTAAGCTTCCTTTTAAAGTGCAGCATCACTATAAAATAATGAGAAAAATCATGATGGAGAGTAAAGAAAAAATATAATTATATCAAAGTAATAATTAATTGATAAATATACTATAGATGACAGCAAAGTTTTTAATTATACTTTCACCATTAATGCAATCTGTTATATGAATGTTTCATGGAATAAAAAATCTGGTTGATAATTAATTTGAAAGTCTGATATAAATTATAATTACTTATGATTCCACCTAATAATCCCCAACGCATTTCCGAAATGAATTTGAAGCGAATATGAAAAATTTAATATAATCTGAAGCAGATGACAGTTATGTCTTTATGTACAAAATTCAGTAATCTAACAAGAAATACAAGTTCCACTTTCGAATTATTACCCACCACAACAGCATTGCGATACCGAAATAGTAAACAGACCAACCCCTTACCGCAGCAGTTAAAGTCCAGGGCAGACCCGCGATGATTATCAAATGTTGGCGGCAAAGTGCACCTGATCATCGGAGAGCATAACTTGCGCGGCAAGAGAACCTCCATGGACACCGGCATCTGCAGCGATTCTAATTCACCAGTCCGAAGAAAACAGAAGGCTCTGGCGAGAATTCTGCTAGGGGGGATTTTTTGTCACGCGAGTTCTATGTATCCTTCCGCGCGCGTGTGTAGCTGACTGAAAAAGCGAAATCGATACCGTCGTGGCACACTCGCACACCTCAGTGACGACATCTTTCGTCGGTTTGGGAAGAAAACTTCAAGGCGCTAAGAGCTTCATTCACGCAGAAACTATTTCAGCTATTTACGGGAAAACACCACAGACAAATATATTGCTTGACATAATTCATCCAATAAAATAATCCCGATGAAAGGCCGATTAATTTCAGATCATAATGGAACGATTTTAAAATACTTGTTATAAATTTGTAATTTTTCAGAGTTTAAAAGGAAGGGTTCACAAAGTTATCGCATGCCGCTCTTCAAAGAGAAATTAAATTTCGCGCTTAAATAACACATCTTTGACAGTTTTAGCGCAGGACTAGTTTTTGGCGCGTAACAATTTGACATTCGTAACCCTTTCTCTCCGCATTATATTCAACCCTTTGAATACAACTGCGATAGGCGATCACGATGTCGCCAAGTCGCCACAGAAAAAAATATATAAAAAATTATTTTCTTTCTGTTGTAGGCAATTACAAAATGAATACTAATAATAAAAACATAAGCTTGGCTCAAAAAATTCTGGTATTACATAATATTACGATATTCACTCCATCGATTTGTAGAGACCAATCCAATAAAAAATAAGTCGCGAGAGTGTAATACAACCGGTTAATACAAATACTTACAGAACAAAAAAAAAAATATGCGATAGTGCTGTTAAATGACCAACTTACCGGGGAAGTCTAAGAAATCACGTCTTAACAATCCTAAGTCGTGGCTCTTATGCTGTTAAAGAACGCATCGACTTGTGGGTCTCACCCCAGGATAGGGGCCCTAAAGGGTGGGGGGATGATTGTTGTCGTCAGCTGTCCATATAAGGGGGAAGGAGACAGTGCGTCACGGAGAGTCTCCCACCCCTGATTGGTTACCTTACCCCACGTGCTGGGTGTTTCTCTGGGTAAAACGGCTAATGATGACGTAGCTCACCCTGAAGGGCGGGGGATAAGAACTGGCAGCCTCACCGCAGGGCTGCCACCCAGGCTGCCCCTGTAACGCAGCCAAAGGAAAGCAAGAACTGTGTGTACTTCTACCGACGAGCGTAGGCGAGCAAGAACTCTTTCACTGCGCATTTTGAACGCTTCTTCTAGCGGATAAAAAATAAAATCTCGCCAAGCGCTTGCTGGAATCGAGAATACTCGCTCCTTGGCTTCAAAAAATATTTCTCTTTCAAGCTACCGGTGCGTATGGGTATAGCTTTTGTCCTTGTGGCTCGCTTTTTAAAATATGTTTGATTCCGGAAATATCGTAGCGCGTTTTCTACACGTTTTACTACAATCACAGGTTAAGGACTCGAGCCTCTTAAGATACCTATTTTTTTCCTTTCGGTGGGAGAAGAATTTTATAGAACAATCAAAAATATATTTACTCTTAATTTTAAAGAATTCGATATTAGATCGCAAAATTTTATAGCTCTGATATTAAGTCTTAAAACTTACTTTATGTGACTGGTTTGTTTCGATTTTGTGTTTTTTTAAACCTACTTCAAAAAATCAATGAAAAGAGTTTTAAAGTGGAAAATATGTGAAGGAGGAAAAAATGTTTAATATTTTTATGACAAATAGTTAAAAAATATCACCATAGCTTGTTAGGTTAGGCAACTATTAGGAAATTAAAATATTTCCTACATACTTTTTAACAATGCAGCAAATATGTACGATTTGCAGTAATGTAAAATGTTTATTCTCCTGAATTCGGGCACTCCCAGATAATTTTTATCCAATCGATAGTTGATTTATTAACTAAGTAAAATGAATAAAAGTCATTGCTTTACCTTTAAATTATTGAGAAAAAGAATTAATTAAAATTGAAAAAATAGGCAGAATAGAAAAGAAGTAATTGAAACACAAATTTTTATTTACATAATATGATTTCTGAATCAAAATTATTCTCAAAGAACTGAAATACAATTTAAATTCCAAGTCAAATAGCTGTCATAAAATTCAAAGCAACAGTTGGAATTTTACTACCAAAACAAGCAGTTTTAATGTATACTAATTAAGTGAGACTTTGAGATATTTTCTGATTGCATAGATTACGCATAAAATTACTGAAATATAATCACCTTTTTTGTCGATGTTAGTTTTTCATTTCGTGAACTTTCACGAATAAAAACATATAGTCGCCAAAGAAGTATTGATGTGTGCACTGAAATGATGTAAATCTTTTGTGGAGAAAGCCCTAAATACATGAGGTTTAAGTGTGACCCGTCTTTCTTGTATAGATTTCTTATTATCACATGAAGTTCGATTTAATAATATATAAATTAAGAACGTTTTAATTTTTAGGTCTCAAAGCTGAAGTATATTAAGTCTACTTTTGCCCTTTCTGTCACAGTGGAAGCTAGTTAACATTAGTAATATATCCAATTTTGCGTCTAGAAGTGTTTTGGAAATATAAAATAAACTTTCTCTCCAAAGTATATTTGAAATGGTTCTGGGCCTTTCTTATCTTTATTTTTCTAACATTCAGTTGAGATGCGTAGTTTTATAAATCCCTTCCTTTCACCCCTTTAATTTTCAAGACTTTTTGATAGCACAGTTGTAGTGTCTTAAGCAGTGCAATTTTTCTCTTTTTTCTCTAATATCATGCTATTTCATTATAAAGCTCGTATCTCGTCCTTACAGTCCGCATCATTTAAATAATGCGAAAAGTGCAAACATTCTCTGTTTTCGGAACGAAAAAGTGTATTCCTAAAAAGTGCAAATTCTTGTAAGATAAAATGTATTCCTAAAATGTGACATTCTTGTATGAAAGTGTACGTAAGATTCGAGAAGTGAACTGGAGATAGTTATATCATACTGCAGCCGTTACTGCTACGTAAGGAAAAGCCGGAGGATTTGAGAAAACAAAGTGTTCTGTCATTTGGTGATTAATTATTAACGTTTCTGAAATGAGACGTTTCAGCTCTAAAAGAGCAGGCTTTGACGTAAGTATCTGATGATAAGTTATGAAATTTATTTCTGTCGACGTAATGTGCTCGATAGAAGATTAAAATATTTCTACATCAGCAAAATTCCAGAAACATTATTTGAGAAAGCATGAAATGATTTTATTTTGGATACTTGGAAACAATATTTTTGATCCTCAAAATGAGCTTAAAAATATTTAATTATTAATTGTAGTCCAAGAAGGTAACAGTAGCTATTTTCTGTGTCGATGAAATGCTTCTATAAATTTTAAATAATCTACGAAACTTTACAAAACAAGTCTAATGAGTTACTTTATAACCTTACTTTTACACCTATTTTAGCGATCAGTGAACCCATAGCAATACGGATATTAGTTTATTGCTAAGGTGTTATGTATTACAACAATGAAAAGAACAAGAAATTTTCATACTTAACGATATTAGATAAGAAATAAGATTATGAAGTAAATAAGATCTTAAAACTATATGAGAATTACAATTAGGTAAGGAAGGATCTTAAAAATAAATGGGAGTTAATACGAGGTAAGAGAATTAAGAGAGCAAATATAACGTTACTCTAAAAGTCGTGCTTTGGGTAATAATGTAGTGCATCGTTATTCAAAACGAAAAAAAAAATTCTGCTGTTTTATATAATTACATATCCAAAACACTGTAAAACCATTAGGTTTTTATCAGGAAACATGAAAAATAAACGACGCCCTTGCCAGTATTCAAACTCTAGAACTCTCGACTGCTCCAATTACACCACGTAAACGTACAGGGTAATGAGGATGAAAATTCGTTTAACAGTCTCTCCCACTTAAAAGGCTCCTAGGAAAGCAGGAACCTAATCAGAAAATCAAGGTGGTGACGAATTATCGCCGTTCGGGGAGCGTCATCAGGTTTATTTCGAGGCAGGAAATATGAAATGTCGGGATTGGAGCTCCAGACCTTACGACTACAAGCTAGGCGTACTTCCAGTTACACCACGACGGAAGGAGAAAATTCTTTGCAACATATTGTCTGTAAAAACATTATGCATCTATTTGGAACAGCAGAACTGCCGGTCATTACAAATTTGGTAAGTTATTACAATAACTTCTATGGACAGAACTTTTATGTATCCTAAAATAAGTTCAAGTAGCAATTTACAAAAGTGTAGAAAAGGTTTTATGACAGAAGTAGTAATGCTACAAATCTTAGATTACATATTTTTCCACAGTCTAGAAACCTCAAATAAATCTACCACAAGTAACAGGTTTTTTTTCCTACTACAAGGTTTGTTTTTGCCTAGAAAGATTTTGTTAAATAAAATACAAGACTGTCCTTGAAATAGAACAAGGCGAAAAAAGAAGTTTCTTGACTACTTTTTTCAGTTCTGCAGTCGTGTAAGACACGTGATGTGAGAGCTCATCACATTCAAAGCTGAATTTTTTCCTAGACAAGATAACATAAATATTTACTCCCAGATTTTACTACAATGGAAACTCGATTATACGTCATTCTTTTAACGGTTAGTTTCTCGTATCCTCCAGCTACTGATGCAGCTCGGTGGACAGAAAGAATCCACCACAATGCGAAGAAGAAAAATTAGTTGCATGATAAAAAGGATTGCTTTGTACCATATTTAAAGGAGAAAGAGAAAATGATGCTTTCAAGAATAGAATGTTGTACTCTTAAATCAAACTACATAGGGGGAAAAAGTCTATTAAAAATTGTCATATAAGTTCTCTAACTGCACCATATCATATTCCTTATAAATAATTTCTAGATCAGTCTGTAAAACTTCATGTATCGATGAATGAAAATTCAGCAGAAAATTCTCTCTTTCTCTATTTAATGCGCAATAAAGAACCGTCTCGTTATAAGTAGGACTGCGTACTGAATTTTTTTATGCTAAGATTTTGCCGGCAGCAGTAGGTAAAAAAATAAAAGTTCTTAGAAAATAAATTATATTTAGCCG